ACCTACCCTGCGGAGACTCCCAGCCAGCCCCCGACCTACCCTGCGGAGACTCCTAGCCAGCCTCCTACCTACCCGGCTGAGACTCCTTCTGCCCCGGCTCCTACCTACCCTGCCGAGACTCCCAAGGTCCCCAGCCCTGACACCACCACCTCTTGCCTGAGCTCCACCACCGTCACCGTCACCCTCCCTTACCCCACCGGTACTGGTGTTCCTCCTTCTCCCTACACTCCTGGCAAGCCTTCCGTCCCTGTTGCTCCTTACCCATCTGTCCCAGGTGGCGGTGCTCCATACCCATCTGTCCCTGCCGGTACCGGTGTTCCCCCTGCTGCCGGCACTGGATACCCCACCAAGACCGGTGGCTACGTCAAGCCTTCCGCTCCTCCTGAGTTCAGCGGTGCCGCCTCTGCTCTCAACGTCGGTGGCTTCGTTGCTGGTGTCGGTGCTTTTGCTGCTTTCTTCTTGTAAATGTCATCTTCTTCAATCGAGCTTGCTACTTAGTAGGCTATGACTTTACATGAGTGCATTGCATAGAGGTTTAGGTCTTCGCTTATAGGTACGCCCTTGGTATCGCAAAGGGTAATTGTAATTAGTTGGGTCGATTAGTAGCAATTGAACTTGAAACACCATTTTTTCTCTTTGATTGATATCTGTGCTCTGGTTCTCCATTGTGAAAATCCCCATGTCCGTCCCTATAACATCTTTCTTTACCTATCTCTCCCCGACTATTCCGCTGAACGAACAATGGATCCTTGTATAGAGCGCCATTCGGAGACCAGTACCACAGAGCCATATGAAAAGTCATAGCACGACCAAACCCTCTGAAATGCAATCGAATTTCTCCATCGAACTACCCCGGGGCCTCCGCACTAGGACCCCCCCTCCCCCCATTCCAAACACGGCAACCCAGCGCGCCCTTGCACCCAAGACCATCAAATTTCCGGTGTTTCCCAATCAAGACACCAACCCGAGTCACACACACACACCCGCTGTTGTGCCTGGCGTGCGGGTGGCCTTATTGCGCAAAAAAAAACCCCCCCCTGTTCACCTCGCTCATTTTCCCACAGCCTTTCATTTCCGCATTTTTGCACCGTTTTTAATCAAAATTTTATTCACGTCTCCCTTCTTCCCGCACCCAAGCCTCTTAGCATGGGGAAACAAGCACCCCTTCCCCCCAATTTTTTTTTGTGCGCAATCACTTCACCCAAAAATAGAGAGATTAGTGTGGTCCTTGCGTGTTTTCCCCCCTCCATTGCTATCTTAACATGAATGGTTCGTATGTTTATTCTGGATTTGGATATTGTTAATGCAAACGAGCGGTTTTTTGAATTACTAGTATAGAATTGCGTGGTTCTCCCGAAGTACGGTTTTTTTTTTCTTTTCCTTACGAGTTAGTACGAATGGAAGCGAGGGCCTGTGAGACCGATGGAATTCGGCGTTATTATTTCGCCTGTTTGTTGCGGAGGGTGTCAGATGACGGGCGGCGTATTTATGCATACGAGAGGGAGAGCGCCTTGTTGTGCATAAGTCTCGGGGTAAAGAAGGGATATCGCGCGTTAGAGTGTGTGCGCCTCAGGCAACGCTTGCATGCATGTTGCGACGGTTCGTATCTGGGGTAAGAGCTTCATGATGGAGTAATACTACTCCGCAAATTACATTCCTATCTTGTTCTTTCTTAACCTTTTTTTGTTCTTTCAGTCCCTTTTTCTCCTTGCGCGCACAACATCACCGTGCCATCGGCTTCCCTTTAATCTATCTAAGCTGCCGCCGGATGCTTCACGACTCGCGAATAAGGTTTATACAGGCTTATAGTTCATAAAAATCTGTGTTCTTTGTTTCCTTCCTGCCGTTTGTGGCTAAAAAAGACTTCGCATGAAGAGGGCAAGTTTTGTGGCTTACGGGAAATTGATGGGTGGTGGAATCAGCGGGGGCCTACTACGCGTTTCATCAGGCGGCGTTGTTGGCGCTTTTGGGTTGAGGTTCCGGAGCCGCTGCTGCGTAAAATGGGTTTCCGTGTAAGTACTTATGAATGATGTGTGCATCGTACCGGTGGTAAAGGATCGGGTGGCGCGTTTGTGGGACGGAAGATACGGTCGTATAGAGATTGGGTTTGTTTATGTGGGTGTTGGTGGGTGTAGTATGTGGGTAGATTAGATTTGCGATGTCTGTGAGGACTTCGGAGGTTTCTTGCATTTCACGTCCATGTCAACATAACCGATTTTGATATTTGTTGCAGCTGTCTCGAAATTTTTAGACGTCAAGTAGCTGGTATTCTAATTATTGTAGACAAATTCTCAGCAATTGGTAGGAAATGTGGGGGTACCGAATACCCTTCGCTGCGTGCCCAAGGTCCTGCCATACGATTGGGAACATGCTTTTCTGTTTAGATCCATTACAACATGATTGCCAGTACAATTTCTTGATGTGGATTCCATCTTCTGAACTATGTCTTATGTTGGGACTGTCGCAGTATACCTGCAAGATCTGTTGAATAAAGTAGCGGTGATTTCTCCATCAAACACCCAACACATGGCAGAGACGGTACGAGGCATTGATGTCAATACTGATAACCCACCAACCAGTCTAGGGCAATGATACTCTACAAGACAGAATCTGCGTTGGCTAGGACAGCGACCGCGCCTCTTTAAGATCGAACTGTCACTCAATCCCTACTGAAAAGTCACAACCCGTCATGAGAATCATCGCGATCCTTTCGGCCTTTGCTGCCACAGCTCTCGCAATACCGTTCAATAATTCAACTATAGAGCTCACACCGCGGGTATTCGACAGAAACCCCAGAGGCTGCCCAACCTCCTTCATTCAACCATATGGCGAATTGCCAAAAGGTCGCACCTTCGCGCCCCGAGACATCTTCCAAATCAGCGAAAAGAAACCTACCGAATTTTTCTCACCCAACAGCTGGGCGGGTACAACCGCAAGAGACAAATGCACCGTCTTCAACATACCCTTGGATGCCGACAGGGCCAGAGGCAAAACCTGCAACCTCGTCTTCAACTTCCCCGACTACAAGCAAGCACCAGGTATATCCCGCATGATCGGCCCAGGCCACTTCATGTTCCACCCCTTTGCCCACGGCGCTCGGGTTCCACTTCCCATCGTTACAACTTGGAGTAATAAACCTCCGCTTAGTATCACACCACCGATTACCATAAAGCAGTTTGCTCCCCGCCATAGTTACGTTCTTAGCTCGGGGCCGTGCTATGTTTCTCAGGAGCAAAAGGGAGTAGTGGTGAGGAGCGGTATGCTGTGCTCCAAGGACACTTTGTTGTGGTTTAAACAGAGCGACGACAGGTGTCCTATGGGACTCTATCTGATCATTTCCGAGCCGGATGGTTCCGATTAGTAGGGTTGGGATGAGACAAGGGACAGCTACTGTGGTGGAATGTAATAAATATCATGACTATTGTATCATTTAGCTTCCATCATCTGGGGAAGAGGGGCTTTTTTGATATCTGGCGTCTGGATGCAGGGCTTTGGTGGACATTGTAGAGGTCGAAGGCTAATCGATTCCAAAGCATATTCAATGAGATACCAATCCTTCAATTCGTCATTTGCATATGCTTCTCTGGCTCAATATTCGTTTTATTTCAATGTAGACGGATGATGTAGTTGTTCTAGACCTGCCTTGGAAGTTCAGATGCTCTAGTGCTACTGCTATAGCAAGCAATTCGCATAGCGTGAGACCTAAGGGCGGGGCTCTATCGATAGTGAGTCACGCTAGTGGCGGGGATTCGGAGGAGTCAACTATAGAAAATCGTTCCCCGCCACGGTCATTTCTCATCAACCTCAAAAATGTCTATTGACTTCCCTCGCGAGGAGGAGCGCGTGCTTGCGCGATGGAAGGAGATCGACGCCTTCCTGAGGCAAGTTGAGCTGGTAAGTGGATGCGAATTCCTGCGCCCTTTTCCAGCATACTTCACGTGCCCCTCTGTCGGCTTGTCTGTTGTGATCTTGCCTTGTTATAGCTATGTTGCATAACCTGTGAAAAGCATATCTGGCGTTTTTTTGTACTAATCCTACCCAGTCCAAAGGCAAAGAACCATACACCTTCTACGATGGACCGCCGTTCGCGACCGGATTGCCGCATTATGGCCATCTCTTGGCGTCCACCATCAAGGACATTATTCCGCGTTACTGGTCCATGAAGGGTCGTTACGTTGAGCGGAGATTCGGCTGGGATACCCATGGTGTTCCGATTGAGTACGAAATTGACAAGGAACTGGGCATGTCTGGACGTGATGCTGTGCGCGAGATTGGAATTGCAAAGTACAACGAAAAGTGCCGCGCCATTGTCATGAGATATGCGGCCGAATGGAGAACTACCATCGACCGTCTTGGGCGCTGGATCGATTTCGACAACGACTACAAGACCATGGATACCAACTTCATGGAATCCGAGTGGTGGGTGTTCAAGCGCCTCTTCGACAAGGGCGCTGTATACCGTGGGTACAAGGTCATGCCCTACAGTACAGCACTGGCAACGCCTCTCAGTAACTTTGAGGCTTCCCAAAACTACAAAGATGTCCAAGATCCGGCAGTCGTTGTCACATTCCCACTTGTCAACGACCCAAACACATGCTTGTTGGCATGGTACGTATTTCTGCGCACACTCTGCTTGTTAATGCCCATACATTGGCAACCCTAGCTTGCTTTTGTGGGCATGTGCTAATGTGGTTACAACAGGACCACCACTCCATGGACACTACCGTCCAACACTGGTCTTTGCGCACATCCCGACTTCGAATACGTCAAGATCCTCGACGAAGCATCCGGCAAACACTACGTTCTCCTCGAATCCCTGCTACGTACACTCTACAAGGACCCCAAGAAGGCCAAGTTCAAGATTGTTGAAAAGCTCAAGGGCAAGGACATGCTAGGCTGGAAGTACGAGCCCCTCTTTGACTACCTGTACGATGAGTTCAAGGACTACGGCTTCAAGGTCTTGAACGACACCTACGTTACAGCCGATAGCGGTGTGGGTATCGTCCACCAGGCACCCGCATACGGAGAGGACGATTACCGCGTCGCACTCGCCCACGGAGTCATTTCCGATACCAGAGTACCACCAAATCCAGTCGACGACCAAGGTTGTTTCACTGCAGTTGTTCGCGACTTTGAGGGTCAGCACGTCAAGGCAGCAGACAAGGGCATCATCAAGCATCTGAAAGGAACTGGACGCTTGATCGTAGACTCACAGCTTCTCCATAGCTATCCCTTCTGCTGGCGGTCTGATACTCCCCTGATTTACCGAACTGTTCCCTCATGGTTCATCAAGATCCAGGACATCGTTCCACAGATGCTGGAGAATATTGCAGGCTCACACTGGGTTCCTTCGTTTGTCAAGGAGAAGCGCTTCGCCAACTGGATCTCCAACTCACCTGACTGGGCAGTTTCAAGAAACCGTTTCTGGGGTACCCCGCTCCCGATCTGGGTCAGTGATGACGGAAAAGAGCTTGTGTGCGTTGGCAGCGTAGAGGAGCTGAAGAAGCTTAGCGGATACGAGGGTGAACTCACCGACATTCACCGTGACAAGATCGACCACATTACTATTCCTAGCAAAGAAGGTAGGGGTACGCTGAAGAGAACTAATGAAGTCTTTGACTGTTGGTTCGAGTCTGGCTCTATGCCCTACGCTAGTGCACACTACCCATTCGAGAACGTGGAGCAGTTCGAAAAGTCTTTCCCCGGAGACTTTATTGCCGAGGGTCTCGATCAAACTCGCGGTTGGTTCTATACCCTCACAGTCCTGGGCACACATCTTTTCGGCAAACTACCATTCAAGAACTGTGTCGTCAACGGAATTGTACTTGCAGAGGACGGCAAGAAGATGTCAAAACGTCTAAAGAACTACCCCGATCCTAATCTCATCATGAACAACTATGGTTCCGACGCTCTGCGATTATATCTCATCAATTCGCCTGTCGTCCGCGCCGAGACACTTCGCTTCAAGGAGGCAGGTGTCAAGGAAATTGTTTCCAAGGTGTTGCTACCACTATGGAACAGTTACCAGTTCTTCGAGCAGCAGGTATCGCTCCTGAAGAAGGTCGCCGATCTTGACTTTATGTTCGATCCAGCGGCTGAGAAGACAAATTCGAACGTACTGGATAGGTGGATCCTGGCATCCTGCCAATCGCTGCTGAAGTTTGTCAACGAAGAAATGGCCGCATACAGATTGTACACTGTCGTCCCGCGGTTGCTCGAGCTCATTGACAACACGACCAACTGGTATATTCGCTTCAACCGCCGCCGTCTGAAGGGTGAATATGGTCTAGAAGACACAAAACACGCACTCAACACACTCTTCGAAGTCCTCTACACACTCTGCCGTGGACTCGCACCTTTCACACCATTCATTACGGACAACATCTACATGCGATTGTTGCCACACATCCCTAAGGAGTTGCACGCAGAGGACAACCGTAGTGTACACTTCCTACCATTCCCAGAGGTCCGCGAGGAGCTGTTCGATGAAGCCGTTGAGCGCCAAGTCAAGCGCATGCAGTCGGTCATTGAACTTGGCCGTATCTGCAGAGATCGCGCGAACAAGGGTCTCAAGATCCCGCTCAAGACGCTTGTAGTCATCCACCCAGAGCAACAATATCTTGACGACATCAAGTCGCTCGAGACCTACATCTTGGAGGAACTGAACGTGCGAGAAATCGTGCTGTCAAGCGATGAGGAGAAGTACAACGTGCAATACTCTGCTACAGCCGACTTCTCCGTTTTGGGCAAGAAGCTCAAGAAGGACGCCGTCAAGGTCAAGAAGGCTCTGCCAAACCTCAAGAGCCAAGAGATCAAGGATTACTTGAAGAGCGGCGAGATTGTGGTTGATGGCATCAAACTTGAGGCCGAAGACTTGATGGTCAAGCGTGGTCTCGCACAGGACTCTAGCAACAAAGACCAAGAGTTTAACACTGACAATGACGTCCTCATTATTCTCGACGTGGCGTCGTATCCTGAGCTTGAGCAGGAAGGTCTTGCACGAGAGGTCATTCGCCGTGTACAAGATTTGCGCAAGAAAGCTGGACTGGTACCTACTGACGATGTGGGTATGGAGTACCGAGTCTTGAGCGACCCTGATGGAGTGGGCCTGGAGAAGGCATTCGAGAACCAAGGACCACTGTTTGAGAAGGCTCTGAGGAGGAACGTTGACAAGCACGTCATCACTGAACTTGATGGCAAGATACCCGAGAACAGCATCGAGAAGGTGATTGCAGAAGAGGAGCAAGAGCTTCACAAAGCAACGTTCATGCTGCGGTTGGTTAAGCTGTGAGGAGTATGCAATACTACTATGCCTCCAGCGGATGGGTTCGTAGATCGTTTAGTGTGCTCACAATAAGGGTTTTGATGCCATGACAGCGTAACGTAGATAGCCGAAGAAATGACAAAAATAACTTTCAATCAAATGCCAGAGAAATCGTGAACTTTGTATGTTACCAAGGATATTTACCAACCCATGACTTCTACCGCTGCTTGTACGCCTTCTGAGCCAATCGTTAGCTACCTGTGAATGAATCGGACCAGACATAGTCTTACAAGATAGCACTCTTTTAGTTTCATGAATTCGTTCACGCACATGTCTTTCCGTACGTTGTTGTAGTCTGCAAGAATACATTTGCCATATAATGAACTCTAAACAATGTTAGGATACAACAAAGAATACACAGTGCAAGGCCCTAGAAGTGGGGGATGAAGTGGCGCACATACTTCTTTTGAGCATTTTGCAGCCGCAGTGGCGAGCTTGTCGATAGGGCGAGTTCGTCCAGGCATTTTGATGTGAGCAACAGATGACAATGTCAAATGAGTGATGTCGTGAGGCGCTGCAAATGTTTCTTCTATGTGTCGATGAGGTCAATGACAGGGTCCACCGCACTAGACTCTTGGCACTGTCGCTGTGTGAACGGGCAACCAACCATCCGCACAACAAAGCGCGTTGCTCTCACGCAGGCGGGCGCAGCGGGTTACCCCGTCACCCATGCATCAATACATCTTGTAATGCTTAGTCGCTGCGCGCAATCCTTTCCTTTGACGCGACTGCACCGCATACCACTTTTTGGTTGCTCGCACACTTCCCGGGCTCAGCAGCTACTTCCATGTTGTCGCGAACGCGCCGGAGACGACCGAGTCGCGTGCACGAATGCTACCCCCCATGACACAAAATGGACATGACGCGAAGGACCTGACCAGGGATGAATTGTCCAACGAAGGTATTACTTACGATCTCTATTCCATTGTTTCTGTTCACTGTACTAATATTCTTGCAGTCGTCGAAACTCTATACGACATCATATACCAGGCGCATCATTCGCAGGATAAGACGTCGCGCGCCCTCTTTGATGCATGTGACAAACATGTCGAGGACAACCGTCTAGAACCCAGGGATAGCGCTATATTATACCGCTTTCTAGCCCACCTACAACACGAGGATCGAGATGGGGAGGATCTCCTAAGTCGCTTCCAGCGTGTGCTCCGAGACTATTTTGACATCACTGTGGGGTATGGCGACGAGGGCGACGACATTGAACCCTCAGCTGGGCTCGATGCGACGCAGAAAGGGACACAGGCAGGGCCGGGACGATTGCCGAGGACAACAAGCTTCGATTCATTCCTCGATGTGACCGCTGACAAGGTTGCTGGGACTGACCATGGTGACCTTGCTCTGCGTCCCAACAGACAACCTCAGCAACAAGCTCCAAACGGCCATGGCAGCAGACCTAATAGGCAGCGTGCTACTTCAGACACAGAGGCGCATTCGTATCACCAAGCTGGACTTCCCATTCGTAATAGAGTGAATGGAATTGCGCCTCAACGCGCTACTTCAGGTCCACAACGACCGCCTCACAAGCGTAGCGCTTCTGCATCGAGTCGTGGCAGTTTGCAGATTAGAAGAGGTGGACAACCGCTGACGTACAGGCCCATTGATGATGCGGACCAAGACAGTTCCACCGATCACAATACCAGTCTCGATCTTTCCAATATCCAAATACCTGGAGTGAATGCGCCAATACCTAATGAACCTTACCGACCCGCGCGCCAACAATCCCAACCGCAGCGACCATATGTCTTCGAGCCGTTCAGACCCTCCGATACGCAATTGTTAGACAATGCGAGAACCCTTGAACAACAGCGACTTCATCGGGTGATGAGAGAATGCATATGGATATGGCAGCGTCGGGCGCAAGACCGTTTGAATATGCGAGAGGATATGGAAAGGGCTGCTGCAGCATTTGAACGTCGCACCCTGCTCAAAGCCTCTCTTTTGCAGCTGCGGGACACAGCGCTTGTAAGGCGATCCGGCCGAGAAACAAATCGCTTTTTCGAACGACTAGAAGCCAGAGCAGACAAAGCTCGCAGTTTGTTTCTGCTCACAAAGGCTTTTACACACTGGGCGAAATGTGCTGAAGAGGAGGTCCAGCGCACGTCGGTTGCGCGCCGGCACATTCTGCGCACAAGGTTCTTCAATGGATGGCGCGAAATCACAGCAGTTAACGAGCTCAAGATTCAACATTTCGCTTTGGCGAAATTCCTCTCTATATGGCGCGCACGCACCGCTGCGAGACAAGGCACTGAACAGCTTGCGGTTTCCTACTATGAAGACAAAGTCGTCCGGCGAACATGGGATACATTGGTCAAAGAGTACCTTAGTAGAGGTGCATCAAACTGGCATGATACACAAATAGCCAGGACTACGCTGTTGAAGTGGCGTGAGATAACTGAGATTATGAAAGAGAGAGAAACGTGGGCTACTGATCGACGGGATGAGATAGTGCTACGGAGGACGTTCAGAGCGTGGCAGCAGAAATCGGATGCTGCTCAAGCCCTCCAATCTCAAGCAGATGACTTCCGGAAAGCCAGCTTGCTCCGAACGGCTTTGCATGCGATGCAGAAACAAGCACATCTCGAACCTAAACTTCGCGAATTCCAGACACATACCAATACTCACTTGCTTCGCTCAACTTTCGATAATTGGCGTAAGGTTGCTAAATTATCACGCCGGGCTCGTATCATCGATCGCATGCGACTGTTGCGTAATGCCTACACGACCTGGAATGACAAACTGCGTATCAAAGCACTTGAAGAGCGTATCAACGACCGCGTTCTGGTCGAATGTCTGTACAAGTGGACTCTTGCATCTCGAGTATCTCTTTTTCAGCGTGTTCACGATCGACAACTCAAGGAGACGGTTTTCTTATCTTGGGTCACAAAGACAAATCAGCGTGCCAACACTCTCGACACTGCTGAAAGGCGGTTCGCTCAGTTCAAGCGTGTCCAGTTGTTACGGACATGCTTGCGCAAGATGGAAGCCATCACTACGGAGAGAAGAGCTGAACAGTTTGCGGTAACAGCCGAGTATCAACAAAGGTTGAAGGAACGCATCTTTGCCAAGCTCAAAGAAAGACAGGCGCATTTCCAGCAGCTGAACCAATGGTCGGCAGATGCACACTACTACGTGCTTTGTAAACATACCCTGAAGACCTGGAGCGAAGCTACGCAGCTTGCGCGTCGCAACCGCCGACGCGACACATACTCTCAAGTCCGTAGAACGGTAAAGACAAATCTCGTGCGAAGGGTGTTTGGACATTGGAGGGACAAAGCAAGCCATATCGTAGGACTGAACCAAAGGGCGAATGATATGCTGGAGAACCGCACCATACAAGCCAGTGCAGAAATCATTCATCGATGGCACGACCGGACGCTTATCCTTCACCAACAAGATGCTCAGGCCACCAATCTACATGCCTTCAGGATTACCTCTGCTTGTTTGGCCACATGGTCGCAACGCATGGATGACATTCGCATGCTAGAAGGTCAAGCCATTGCTCTTCGACAAGAAAGCACTGAGATTATGGCTGCAGGCGCCCTCAAAAAGATGGGATGGCGTCTCTGGAACATCCAGAGACAGGAAGACAATGCGAAAGCGTTATTCAACCGGAACTTTGAAAAGCATGTCAGAGCTATGGTTCGCTTTTGGGCGGAGCGTGCTACAGAGCGATTTGCCGAACAGTCTGCAAGCCCCACGCCTAACAAACCGAGAGCGCGGAGAGTTGATGATAGAGACCGTGATGATGGCAGGGGAGGTGACGATGGCGCAGTCAGCGCTGAGGGCAATAGAAACCATGGGAAACAGGGGGGCTTGGAGCCGTCTGGTGACGAAACCCAGTATCTGGAGGCTTGGACAGCTTTTGACCAGGATGCTTTGGATCTGAACAAAGAGCTTGATCTCTCTCTTTCTCTCACACCGGAACAGCCTCCACGACACCCCATTCTCACACCGAATCCGTACACCCAGGCACCTACACCATCTTCAACGCGCCCGCTGAATTCCATACTCCGCCGCCCAAACACATACCCACAACCGCAGCCAGCTCTGCGCCCTCCCCCGACGACCATCATTGAGGATGACGAGTCCGATCTCGATTTCGGAGACGGCCCCCAATCAACTTTCTGGACAGGAACCCCCATGCCACCAACAGCAAGCAAGCCTGGATACCTGAAGACACCATCAAAACGCAGTCTAGCCCGCGCCAAGCATCCTGAACTTCCCGCTAGTCCTGAGAAGCAGCCTGCCTTCAGTCCTGTACGGCGACCTTTGGCTTCAATACTAGAGCGAGAACGAACATCACGATTAGGCACTATGAGTGCTCCACCTGTGCAGAGTTCAAGATTCACTAGTTTTGGTGGCATAGGCGGCGTGACGAGTTTTGAGAGGAGGCTGAGAGAAGGTGGATTTGGAGGGAGCGTTGCTGCTGGCAGTAGTAGTGCAGCGAGAGGGGGGAGGGTAAAAGGTGGTGCGAGGCCTAGAGTGGGATTTGGAGATGTTAGTCAGATGGGTTGATTGATTCTCTTGGGCTTTTGGATATTGAGCGGAACATTTAGTGTTGATGGAAGAAGATAGTGGAGTTTGCATTGCGTGAGGCGTCTGCGTAGTATTATAGCGCCTATTTGTGTTTGTGTATGTCAGGATACCCCATGACTTTTTATTTTTCACTCTTCAGAAAAGTTGTTGTGACTATATAGTAGAGTAACGATGAATATACATGATATGATTTACATCTAAAAGCACTTCGGACTGATGTTGTAGCGAGACTTGTGGATCTACGTGAAGCTAACCTTGTCCCCGATGCCCGTTTTTTTTTGCCACGATCCGACCTTCGGTGTCGTGTGATGATGGTAGAGCACATAGTAGGGTTAGTGCGGAGACCCCGCAATCTACTTTTCTCTCCATGTTACAATAGTATTCCACTGTTGGAACCTGCATCGGCGCTCTCTCCGAGTATAACGCCGTTTTCTCTTATTCCTACATGCTGTGCATACCTTACCCTATGTATCCGTTGATGCTCACCCAAAATTTCATGCATGATGTTGTTCCGTTAAATCTGATGAAAACAACAAAGTCAGGAATATGTCTTCATACCGTTCAACTCCAAATCTAAGCCTCGGCGCCACCGCCGATAAACAGCCTGATTTCCACACTAGGAACCTGTTATTTCGCCCATCCACGCGCCCCCTTCTAGTCGCTTTTTTCCGTGAGCGGGGGCTAAGTGCACTTTGCCTTTTTCCATCTGCACAAAAAGAAAACGTCCCGAGGCCCCGCTTTTTGCCCTTGAAGCAAGGCAATCGAGTAGTAGCGCCGGGTATAACGATCCGCATACTTTGTTATGTCTATTTGCTTTTAGTATATAGTGTGCTTTGATGGCGAGATCGTTGCCGGTGCACGTGGTTTTCTTTATTTGTTCAAGATGCATGCTGCGTTGCGGATGCTAGTGTTGGGCTTTGCTCCGGTATTCTTATTCGATATTGGGTTTGCGGCTCCGTCTTCTGGGTTTCATGAACGATGCCGGAGTTTCGATCCTACATATTATGTTAAGAACTCGACGCTGAATGCTCGCGAGTTCTTTACTGCGGGGTCGAATTTGACGTTTCCCGATAACGTGGCGAGTTGCGGTCGAGCGAGCCAGGTTGTGGCTGTGGATCTATGTCGTGTTGCGCTTGAGATACGGACATCGAGTACTTCGCGGATTACGTTTGAGGCGTGGTTTCCAGAGAAGTGGTCTGGAAGGTTTTTGGCTACGGGTAATGGAGGGTTGGATGGATGTGAGTGCGAATTACTTCGAAGATAAGATTGGTCAGTGTTAATGCGAGCATAAGGTATCAAGTACGAAGACATTGCCTATGGCACTCAGAATGGCTTCGCTACTGTTGGGGCAAATAATGGACATAACGGTACTTCAGGACGAGACTTCTTCAATAATCATGAGACGGTTGTGGATTTTGCATGGCGATCGTAAGTAATCACATTCGGTTACATTTAGAAGACTCGTATTGATCATGTTCTTTCCTCACAGTCTCCATACAAGTGTAGAGACTGGCAAAATGCTAGCTCAACACTTCTACCAAAAGAAACATAGCACATCCTACTACATAGGCTGTTCTCTCGGCGGACGCCAGGGTATAAAAGCCGCAGAGCAGTTCCCAAGAGACTTCGACGGTATTCTCGTTGGCGCGCCCGGCGTCGATTTCAACAATCTGTATTCATGGCGTGCACTTTTCTACACTATCACTGGTCCAAAAACAAGTCCTGATTTTATTCCACTCCAAGCATGGAAAACGTGGATCCATGATGAGGTACTACGGCAATGTGATGGCATTGATGGAGCAAAGGATGGGATAATCGAAGACCCTTCGCTATGTCGATTCAATCCATGGACCTTGAAGTGCAACAGCGCCAACGCCATAACCGAAGCAAAATGTCTCAACGAAAACCAAGTACAGCAACTCGTCCGCATATTCAGTCCCTACACGTATCCCTCTGGCGAACTCATCTTTCCAGGCATGCAACCCGGCAGCGAGCTGCAAGCACCTGACAGACTCTACACTGGCACACCTTTCACCTACTCAGAGGACTGGTTCAAATATGTGGTATACAGCGACCCAAGCTGGAACGCATCGACCTTTACTGTCGCCGATGCACGCGCAGCAGAAGCCCTCAACCCAGCCAACATCCGCACCTACCCATCTTCACTGCCGGCCTTTGAATCTCGCGGCGGCAAATTACTCATGTATCACGGCCAACAAGACAGCCAGCTCACCAGCTTCAACACGAATCGCTTCTACGAACATCTACGCGACAGCAATGGTAAAGGAGGCAAAAGAAGCTACGTCAGTATGAACAAGTGGGTGCGCTTCTTCAGGATCTCAGGCATGTTTCACTGCTCTGGTGGACCAGGGGCATGGGTGCTGGGCCAGGGGGGAAGGGCTTCGCAAGCCGGTATCCCGTTTGACGCCCAGCATAATCTTCTTGCTGCTCTGGTGGCGTGGGTGGAGACGGGTGCTGCGCCCGAGCGTGTGGAGGGGACTAAGTTTGTGAATGATACGGTAGCTGCGGGCGTGGAATTTAGGAGGAGGCACTGCATGTATCCATTGAGAAATGTATTTGTTGGGGGTGATTATAGGGAGGCTGGGAGTTGGATGTGTAAATAAGAAATGGTGGGTTTGGTGGTTGCTAGTACTGGACAATAAACCACGTGGCATTGGGTTTTGACTCCTGTAGCCAACCAGCCACCACTGTACCTCTTGAGAGAAAATTAGTATTATCCATATACTCTCGACTAGGACGTTACATTGTGGCTTAATATTTGAGGCAAGGGGGTAGCGGTTCGGCTCGCGATGTTTGCTAGCAGAACCTGGTTAATGGAAACATCCGACGGGACCCTTCGCTTAGATTCCTGTTGCTAAGCCGATACATTTTCCTAAAGTTATTTTGTCTACTTTATCAAGGGTATTACGCACCCGATGCGCGACCATTGTGCAGATCTCGAGTTAGCTGCTTAGAGAGATGAACCTGAAACAACCGCGCACAGTTCACCGCGTTTCTCGTCTAGCCACCCCGTTATGAAACGGCTATCGATTCAGCTTTGATCAAAACATTTTCCTCCTTACAAGAACCATTAGTTTTGAGCTTAGAAGGGTTTGTTCACTTAGTTAACTGTTGACACTGTTCACAGCATGCAGGGTCCTACAATGGCGCTGCTTGACATGGTTTCGTGTGTTGCCGTTGCCCATTGTTACATTCGAAATGGCCAAGATCTTATCAAATCATGGAAGTGAAGTTAGATCGGCGAAAGATGTTCTTTGGGTCAAGTATGGGTCTAAGTGTGATGCCTCTTTTGAGAGTCTACTTTTGACACCTGAAAGGTGGCAGCAATCACTGAGGCATAAAGACACTTTTTGTACACTGTGTAGGGTATACGCACGAAGCCTGCATTGTCTTCTGGGTTTTTGTATCTTCTTACAGTCTATCTCCCTTGGTACATTGTTGCCATTGCCACGATTGTGTCTTTGTTCGGGTGTCCTTCACTTTCCTCGTGATTATGGACATGTCTTGACACCCCGAACCGCATGCTAAAATTTGACATTTGGTTCTTCCTTAGAAGAATTTGGTTAGTCAATATACAAAATGCCTCCTCCATACAATACTTCGTGGTCTTACTTCAAAATAGATGCCTTTGCATACATCAACGCTAACCGAAACTGGACAGTGGGTAAGTAAATGATCATTGTGCGTCAAGCCTGCTTTTGCTAAACATCTGTGTGAAGAGGAGCGAAACCATACAGTTTCTACAATCTGGGCTGGAAATGTGAACGTCCAGAATCACTATAATGCATTAACGTGGGTTGGAGAAGTAAGGGCGGCAGCCACTCCTGGCCTACCTAACCCAAATCCTATACCAGCGATACCATATACAGCTGTGTCACTTGCATATGCGAAAGCTAGAGGGAAACTACCTTCTTCAACGCCATCACCATTATCATCATCATCGTCATTATCACCCTCTGGACCTGGACCTGCAACTCAGCACACTAATTCACAACCGGACGACTTTTGGCCAAAGCGGCCATGGTCTCCTGAACCCAAGCTACCGCTCTATGACTTAGATATGGTCAAGGCAAATAGTGCTTCAAGAGAGGCTTGGCTCAGCACTGAACCACATATGCCCCCACCAAATGACGGGTCTCAGTGGCGCGGTGTCCAAGTGCTGGAAGTTGGGGGTTACGGCGCTGCAGGGCTATGGGTCCAGACCGATGCCGCAGGTAACATTCGAGACGTAGGTCTGAGGCGTTGACATTATAAGGGTCTGTATCAGCTGACATGTTGCAGAAAATGGTGATCAAGGAAGCCAAGCCTTTCACAGCTAGCCAATGGCGCGACCCAAAAAACTGGCATGACAGATTGCCACGCGAGATTAGGATACACCAGCTGGTTGAGGAACGGCGCAGCGTAGAGCCTGATTCGTGTCGTCACCTCGTCCGTTCCCGTGGTCATCGGCTCTGGATGCGGTCGAGACGGTATAGGTTATACCTGGATTTTTATCCTGGAGGTGACCTGAGGAGGGCAATGAAAAACTATGCTGAGAACTGGACTAAAGAAGAAGAAGATTCTGAGTTCAATCGGGAGGAAGATCTTTCAGAGGGTTTTATATGGTACACAATAAAATCACTAGCGACGGCCTGCCTATTGCTACATAGGGGGACACTGTCAGATAACGAATTGTTCGGATGGAAGCCAATCACGCATCTCGATTTGCAGCTACCTAATGTTCTTCTCGATATTTCTAATCCAAAGGAGGGAAATTATACGGGCAGTGAGCCCTCATACGTGCCTATTCTTGCTGATTTTGGCATCTCCTTTCTCAGTCCTGGGGGTCATGGCTCCACTCTTTCTGACCCTCCAGAAGACTTTACTCCCAACTTCGACACTCGATATCCTCCTGTAAGTTTCTATTTTACCTTGTTGGATCTACCCACTGACTGCATCAGGAAATGAACCAACAACCCTCAGATGACATCAAACTTGGAGAAAAGACGGATGTTTGGGGCCTTGGAAACATTGCCTACAAATTAATCATGAATGGCCTAGTCGATCAGGGTCCAGTCCGTTGCGACGCACACACTCAAGATGAGGAATTTGAGGAATATGACGGAAAGATCCCGCTAGCAGCACAGCATTGGCGCAACCTTTTCCAGAACGATGACAAAAATGTCCTCAGTTATGATTGTCCAGAATGTAGGCCTACTGGATCTTATACTGATGATCTCAAGCAGCTCGTGAGGAAGTGTTTGAACTATGAACAAGGCAAGAGGCCAACGCTCTTGGAAATCATTGCCGAGGCTGATCAGCACTTTGGTGAGTTCCCCGGAGACATGGATGAGCTCATGGACAAGGGTCGGTATAACTTGAAGGAGCCCAATTTCGAGGAGTTTCTGACCGGAGAGGCTATGGACATAGGTACATAGATGAGGTAACGACTGATTGAAGGGGCCTATGTTTCTTGTTTCCGTTCCATCGTTAGATGTTTTAGCGTTGGCCTCCCATGCATGTGATAGGTCCAGCACACGACTAATACACCAATGAGCTTTTCCATACACCAAACAAACTCTAGTGCCTCGACGTGAACTGCTCCAACATTTTCTTTCATATGGACTTCACAAGTCCTCCCGGTAGAACTCTCAAAGACATCTAATTCTTTAATTCCTTAACCCATCTTTAATAATTTCCCTTCATGTACTCCTGGAGACAATGCATGAGAGACACAAAATGGACATACCTAATTTCTTTAAATACCTGCCTGGGAACATACCCAAGTCCACGACCTTCCTTACTCCGAAGGATGTTGAGAAAGAAGCTCGAGTGCGTGCGGCGAGGCTCTTCCAGCATCGTGGTTTGCTCGAAAAGATTGTTGAGCGCCACGAAGAGACGATACGCACACGCTGGGGAAAGAAAACGAGAAGTCAAAAGAGAACAGTCCTCCTGGAGGCATGGACCGGAATGTCCTCGGAGCATCGACCAGATGTCGCGGCATGGCGAAAATACTCAACATCGGATACGAAGGAAGCATACATGTGGCCATACATCAACTTGGAAGATCTCACCAAGACAAAGACCTTGCTGGTTATGCTTCACTACCGTGGGAGGAACCAGCCACACGAATTTGTACGTTCCGATTTGGAGCAAGCTGCTCTTGGTGAGGCGAGCGGTGCCACCATGCCAGGCTTTCTGGACGAATACACGATGCTTTTCGCCGACCGAAAAACACCCAAGTCATATGGAAAGCTCATTTCCTGGGATGACGACGACCATGCCTTTGAGAGCATGACCAACGGGATTGGTATGCATCCTGGACATGGGTTGCAGGCTTTGGAAATCCAGGAACGCATTTGGTCCTTTCTTGTAAAGTGCTGTCAGATCTTGTTGCAAGACATTCCGTCTATGACCAGATCACCTGTTCTTCCAAACCCCGGTCCACCTATTACTCAGGATCTTGACGTCGCGTCTCTTCAGATCAAATCCTTCGAGGCTCCCTACCGAACCCCTGCACACCTTGACTTTGCGCGCCTAAAGACCTTGGCTTCTGAGGAGCGCAACTGGAGGGAAGACCATTTGTGGTCACTGCGAGAGGACCCAAGCTATTTCGCTAAGATGATGCATGAGCAAGCTGAGCATCGACCTGAGATGCTGCTAGATACCTTACGGAACGAGCATCCTTTGTTGAAAGAACCGGGGCGCCCACTCTTCTGGAACCGCGTAATCGGCAACGTAGTGATTCAAGCTTATTTTGGGCTCGCGACCTTTGATGAAGTATTGAAGCAGATCAACAACGTCGCTAGCATCTACGAGAAGCGTAAAGTAACACTGAAACCGGATGAAGACCTACCTGCCGACCTGCTCAGCGCATTCCAACATCTCCGTTTTTTGCTGGGTGCTGCAAGAACTGACATTGTTAACTGCATCAAGATTGAATTGTTCGCATCTCCACCGCTTCGTCCTTTCTGTAGGCGCGAGCCTCATGATCCGAAATCAGATGTCATCCGGTCTGCGTATTGTCCACCGCGTCAGGAGCATGCGGTCCATCGACTCATGCCCCTATTCGATATCCTCTTCGACGATCAGCAACTATTTGTATTTGGCCTACACACCGTGACGGATGAGATTGAACGCTTGACCGCAAAGGATCCTGCAGTCGCTGCTTTGCTTACGCCGCGAATCGCAAGCCGTCTCTCGTCGCTTTCAGTCGTATCAGAATGTCTTCAGCGAATCCACTTTTTCCAGCCATGGGCGCGTAAAATCGAAGACGGCATGGATCTCAAGGCCCGTGAACTCCAAAAGCAGTACAACAGGACTTTTAAAGGATGGCTCCCAATCCTAAACGCTAGATTCGAAGGCTCGCAGATCCATCAGTATGCTGATCCAACTGACGGGAAATTCAACTATCCTACGGACCATCGCCAGAACAAGCAGAACGTCGAGACAATGCGCAAATCCGAAGCTAACCTGGATATCCTGTGGAGAGCTGTAGACCGGCACTACAAGTCTAAATCAGCTAACTCACAGCATGACATGGTAGCACATATGCTTCGTAGTAATCGAAAGATCCAGCGTACGCCTGTTTGGGTCGAACCCGGCAAGAAAAAGAGAAGGAAGAAGAAGAAGGTGACAATTGTTAAGCAGCCAGTGGTACACTTATACAGGCCATCTTCTAGCGTCTACCGGGGATTTTCGAAGCCAGTCACTGGTGATTTTGTTGATGTTGCACTCGACGAACCTAGTGTCGAGTCCAAAACTGACGGAGACGTCGCTCCAGGGTCCAAGGCCGAAACACCGACATCCGCCCTTCATGAAGCTACTGAGCACCCTAAGACCTTCGCAGTGGACAAGCGCTCTCACGGGGCCTTCAGCACCATTTCCCACTCATCGTCCGATCCTAATCAGCCTGCAGAGGTTCCTTGGACCGATTTCATGCATGCGATGGTAACCATGGGCTTCTCAGCTGAAAAACCACATAGATCGATGTGGAGTCTCGCACCACGAAATATTAGCCTGAGTGCAGAGAAGAGTATACAGTTTCGCGAACCGCATGTTAGTAGCGACATTCCAGTTCTCTGGGCAAAGCGTATTCAGCAGCGATTGGCGAGGGCGTATGGATGGGTCGGTGGGGTGTTCAAAGTAGCCTAAGGTGTGGATTGATGGCGTAAGCAGGTCTTACATACGAGAGTCTGGCGTTGGTTCAACGATGGTGTGTCAACAACTGTTTTCTATTGTATACTATACTGTGTATGTATCATGTCGAGATTCCGAATTCATGAGCAGTAATTGTGTCCTGGCTTGTTATATCGAGATGCCCCTATGTCTGCCGAGAAACTGCAAGTATATGTGTTGTGGCAGGTCTAGCGGCGTGTCCTTTGCGCAATGACGATTTCGCAGGGCAGTGCTTGCCAGCGAGGTGGCAATCGGCGGCGCGATGGCCATCTAGAACCCGATGCGCCAGGCTCCCTATGGATCTTCGCGTAAGGGCTGACGCGCACCAATAAATCACGGTAAAGGGCCGAATGTGACGATGAATAAAGTGTATGCGTTGTGTTGCCGATGGAATATTAATGCGCCGTGACCAAGGCAGCCACAGTGTTCAAGACAGCAACGTAGGCAAGATCGGGCACGGGGCACGTGATAGCGCGCTTGGCATCGAGGCGGAGCGCTCGGCCGGCGGAGCGAGCGAAACGCGGACCAGATCCTCTCTCTCTTCACGTCAACGTCTCCTTCTTCACGCCAACCTTTCCTTTGACATCCATCGGTCGTCCATAGCCAACATCAATGTCTCACTATCGATGGCCGCCTCGGGGAAAGATGTAGGGCTCATCACCTACCCAGCCATTGTCAACATCGCCACCCTCGTCGTATTCTTCGTCTACCTCGTTATATCCATCTGGCTCATCTTTCGACAGGGCCTTGGCCGCAGCTCACCATGGATCTGGCTCACCATTCTAGCCATCTGCCGTCTCACCCAGGTCTCGCTCGATTTGGCTGCTACCACCATGTACCCGATAGGACAATCGTCAAACACTAGCTTGGAAAGCGGCGTCGCAATCCTGACTACCATGGGCTTGACGCCCCTGTTCATGTCTACCAGCAGCCTACTCAACACGACCACCAGGCCTAAAGGACGTCGCATGCAATGGATCCTGCTAGTATTGCATATTCCTCTCATCATTTCCTTCATTCTTATTGTCGCTGGTGGCATCGATCCAGACTCACGAGACGGACCCACTTTTGCAGCCACCGAAAGTACCAAGGCTGGCATCACACTTTACTTGGCATGTTTCGTTGTCCTCGTCTGGTCAACCATTGTCATCTCTGCCCGCCTTTATCTTGCGGACAGAGATGAAGTGCGCATTCTTACGACTGTTGTGCTCAGTCTGCCTTTTTTTGTCGTCGACATCGTCTACATGATGTGTTTCGCCTTCGAGCGCTGGGAAGTCGACGACTTTGACGGCTGGCAGCACATGCGTTTCAATGTTATTAGTGGAAGCGTCACCCTTCAACTGTGCATGTACGTACAACTTCTGCCATACGACTGTCTCCTTTCCTCCCTTCAATTGATCATGTGACGTCACAGAGGGCTAACACATAGCTAGGCAAGTAATCATGGAATGGATTATTGTTGCTCTATATCTGGCCTTGGGTTTGGAGCTTCCCAGTAAAGCTGCAAGATTGCGACGTCAGATTGAAGACCAAATGGATCAAGCTAGGAATCTCGACGTTGATGTCCTTCAAGAGACCGTGTTATGGAAGGCTCACGATGCCATATCCCGCATGATTGCCGCCATGATCATGCCCGCCCTTCAACTTGCACACTGGATCCTTGGAAAGATACTGCGATCTGGACAGAATCAAACCTGAAACTTGCAAACTGCAACCATCAAGTTACCAACGTCTCCAGACGTCTCTTGATATTCGATGTATTTGACACACGGTGCCTTGCCTTACGACTGGCGTACAGGCCCCCTTGCAGCATAATCGATAATGTTGTGTCGGCCTGTTCGACCAACAAAACCCTAACAGGAATTTTGTCATCTTTGGATTAACTCGCGCGGCCAACGATGAGAAAACGCAAAAGCACCCAGCAGTAGATGCGTGTTTGCCTCGTCATCATCACGCGGAGACTTGCACTTCGGAATGAGGCGGATGACGCACTCAGTGGCACAGCACAGCGATGAGCCATTTAATCAGCACCAGACCCTGCCGCCCCGCTTAGATCCTGACAGCCCAATTGAAACAGAAATAGATCTCACCATGTTTTGCACGCCTGTTACTGCGGTATTTACCACTCTTGAATCGCATTGGTTGTGGCTGAACTCTGATGAGGCTGCGACGAGCGACCCGAACAGGGGCATGGAATGAACAAGAAGAAAAAGAGGATGCTAGGCAGAGATAGTACAAAGGAGGAAGGTGCGCATGAAAACAAGTCGACACGCACATTTGTAGCGATGAGAAGTAGTCTGTCTTACTAGCGACGATGCTTGTACCAATTAACAATCTGCTACTTCCAATTGCCACCTTTGTGCCAAAAAATGATTACGCCTCACCCCCTTTATGTCTATGCATCTGAGCTAAGAACAACCCCACGTGTATTTTTAAATCCTTCTATTGCTTCAGAACCGCAACCACCAGGAAATGTAGTTTTCACTTTCGAATGTTACCGTTGCCTCATTTATTCTGTTTTGTCCTATTTTGGTTGTTAAGAAATTCAAGAAAAAATACAAATTTTACGTAGAGTAAAATTTGTGGATAGAGTGGGAAAAGAAAACACCGAGGAGACAAAACATTTAAATAGTATTACCAACAACGTGTTTGTAGTGTGAGAGATAGCAGTCGTCAAATATGCTCATTGTACGGAGGTGCCTCACAAAAGTTCTGTCCCGCCAAGAATAATCTATCCGATGTACGGCCGCCTTAGCCGAGGCTTGTCTCTCCCCTCTATGTACTCGTTACCACCTTGTAGCTCAATTATCTTTTGAATATGCACAAGAATT